GCAGTTGAGCTCATGCTGCAAGGAAGTTTCAGAACCAACTCCATCACACCAGGAGACACTTTGTCTTTTGAAGGCGAAATGTGAATCTTCTCAATAATATCTGAAACAGCCTTAGGTTGTTGATCAACAAACACTTGCAGAGAATGGAAATATACCTTAACATACCAAGGCACAACTTGAAAAACATCAACTCGCAATTCACACCTTTCATCATTGGAATGAGCACCCATGAATCCCTCAGTCGTTTGTGTAGATTTTAAGGAAATAGCAATGGCGCCCCTCTCATTTCCACTTCCCGTCAAGAACCTGCTAGCATGTAATGGTGCTTGTTGACACAACCAAACTATAGGAATCTTCCAAGTTATGCCAAGATCAAATGGCTCGAATTCACTGTATTTCTCAACTTCGAACTTGTACAAAACAGAAGAATTCTTGCTGAGCAAACTGCATTCTTCTATAAATATCCTGTCTGGCTTAGCAGACAACTCAAAGCTTGGATTAGTCCAAAAATTCTCAGATGTCAAAGAATTTTCTATTGACTTCTCATTTTCTTTGTGTAGTTGTTTTAGTTCAGCAACTAAGCCCCTGTCAAGTAGAAGGTACACATTACTGGTCTCTGCCAGAACACATTTTCCACTAACTTGCTTCCCAAAAATTGAACTAAGAGACCAGCTTGGTTGAATATGTTTTTCACTATCACGGACCAGACTGGCCCTTTGACTAATAGGCTGGAGGACAACTGTAAGTGTTTGTTCTAACATGATACCTAGATCCATCCCCTCAGAACCAGATCCAGTTGAGGTAAGATGCAACCTCTGAGAATGATAAAACCCTCTGTAAATTGATGGCCTATCTAGTAATGTGGAAATCCCGGCTTTGTCCCGACAAGGAAGCAGTTTCAGCCACGGAGTTATATTCTCTGTGCAAACAGCTTCACGAGGCAATGTACCATACCTCAGACTGCCCGAAGCTAGTGGAAAACTCCACTCTGGGGCAGAATAAGCTGTACTAGACTCTAGGAAATTGATTGAGGCGCAGAAAAGACCAGAAAGAGTGTGTGTTAAATTCTTCCACAAAGGATCAATCAGATGTTGTGGGACATCAAAGACAGCCCATAACTCAACCCCAGGGGGCTTTGCATTGCTGCTTGGAATGGAATCAAATCCGCCCCAGCTTTCATAGTTCCAGCGCCCTTGCGTGAAAGACAGCTCCATTTCCTTGACTCGAAATTTCTGAACCTGCTCAAAGATGTTCATAATTATCCACTGTTTTCAAATAATGCAAAGACAACTAGTCATCCATTATTTTTATTTCAGTGCAAGGGAAGTGGTCCTATAAAAAAAACTAGAGTGTACTTATAACATATACAACATAACCACTTATCTTAATCACTAGTTACTTAAAATTTACAAAAAACTATTTATCAAAACTATTGTCTTTTCTTAACACGGAAATAAAATTTACAGCAACACATATACAATTAGTGCATAATATTTATCAGATAACTTGTAGCCAAGTTTTTACTTCACGTTAGACATAACATTGTGTGAGATCATTTCATCCTCATGAACCCTAAGAATAATGAAGTAACAATATCTTGCATCGGAATATACCAGACAGCTTGAATGACATTTTTACAGTAGAAGCTAATAGGACTTAAAACGGAAAAACAAAGAACCCTTATGAATTTTCTTAACTAGGCCAAGCTGAATGCTCCTGAGATAATTATTTTATTTAACCACAAAAATAATTATAGTATCCATTTTTCATCAAACAAAAGCTAATAAATCAAACTTTTAAATCCTGCTTTGTCTGGTAACTTGATGCAGTCTAATAACTATAAATTGACTCAGCCTATGCTGACAACACCATAGCACTTCTTTCATCTGATTCCGAACCCTAAATGTGAATTCAAGATCTAGGTAAAAGCAAAGCAAAAGCTAGCAAACCCAAAACCTTACAGCACACAGTGGTCCAATATTCAATTCTGAGGGTTTTCTTCTTGCTTTTTAAACTAACAATAGATTCAGAAGCTAAAGAAATCCACTTAACTAAGCTAAACTAACTTCTCTAACACCAATTAAACAAAAGCAAGAAGTTGAAAAAACCAATACCCGGAAAATGTATGCTTTCTAAACAAGATTTCTTAGTGACCCAAAAGAAATATAAATAAAAGAACAAACCGGGAAAGTACCAACTGAGAAATGGCTTTTGGAAATAAGTGGTGGTGGCGGCCATTCGAGGTAGGAGGGGCAGAGCTTTGAAAATGGAAATGGGTTAACACTTTGCGATCTGGCAATGGCTTCAAGAGCAGTTCCTCATAGAATTCTTCTTGTTTTTGGCCTTCTTCATTGACCGATCCGAAAGCAATCCATAATTGCAAGAATTGATGAGTTACTATAAGGAGCAGGAGAAGTGGTCTTCGAAGAAGGGCCATTGCTGGGTTTTCTTAACAAACTGGAACTACGCTAATAGGAGGCATAGAGAATCCGCCACGGAAGCATTCAGTCCACGGAGCTTTAAAAAATTACCTGAGGAACGAAGGGCATTTTCATTTTCTCCCCTTTTCCTGGCCGATCGTAGAAGATGTTCTTGGATGATAAATTATAGGATGTAAAAAAACTGAACTAACCTGTAAAAAAAACTGTATGAAACCACTTAAGGTAGCGGAACCCAAATCGATTTGAGAATAAATTGATATTGACTGAATTCAATTTTAATTTGATTATTTTGGATGTAAACTCTAATCTATATCCGATTTGAAAATAACCTAAATTTGAATTGAATTTAATAATATGATAACTGAAACGATCTGTATTTAATTTAATATGAATCTAAACTCAAAATTAACTTGTTAAATAATTAATATTAACATACATGTTATCAAACTGACATATTATGAATCTAATTTATAATTAACTAAATATGTAAATAATATGACTAATTATTAAATCGATTTGGTATTGATCCAATTTGATATTTAACTTATTTATAGATTACAGCCGACAAAATTACAAGATTATAAATTTATGATAATATACGTACACTGTGATTTTAAATTATCTTTAACTGTGGTTGTCTTTTTTCCAGTTATATGTGCACTCTTTTTTTCTCAGGAGATTTTTTTTAATGAAGTTCATGGTAATTGTTTTGTTTTGTATACGTTCCGGTAATATAAAACTTCCTTTTCAAAAAAATATATAATAATAAGTTATGATCATAAATTAATATATTTATTTTTTATATTTATAAATTATAATCTATAAATATATTTAAAAGCTTTATCAAATATATTTACTTTTTATATTTGTAATATGTCTACTTTTAACATTTATTTCAATTTTACATTTTATAATTGTTTCAATTTGATCCTTGCATGTTATTTAATTTATTTAAATTTTAGTTTGTAATTGTATGTTTGTTCAATTTAGTTTTTAAATTATTATTTTTATCTGAAATTTGCCTATATTTTTTATTTTTTATAATTTACTCCAAAACCTATAAATTACATCATAAACTTCAGTTTAAACTTTATAAATTATATCATAATCTTTAAACCTTATAAATTTTTGTTCACTAACTTTTCAAATGAATGCAATTTTAGTTCGTTTTGATATTAATTTTTGCTTTACATTTTACAATTGTTTCAATTTGATCCATATGTGTTATTTAATTAATTTAAATTTCAGTTTTGTAATTATTAGTATGTTCAATTTAGTCCTTAAAATTATATTTTATCTGAAATTGACCCATAATTATTTCTATTTTTGTAATTTACTCCAAATTCTATACAATCACAAATTACAATTAGATGTTCATGAAAGGAAAAAAAATAATTCACCTAAAAATGATCCGAATTGAAGTTCACTCGACTTGAATTTATATGCCAATGACGTGACCCGATTTGAATGAGATCCTACTTGAAGTTCATTCGAACTTGAATTAACTTGATCAGACCCAAATAGTTTTGATCTGAACTGATATTGATATGACTTGAAATTGACCCGACTTAAACCCGAATGGAATCTGATTTAAAATCAACTTGAAAATAACATGAACTCGAGTTGATACGTACTTGATCTGATTCGAGTTGAACTACTGAATTAACCTGACATAACTTGTATTCAATTTGACCTAATTTGACAATGATTCAACCTAAAACCTGAATAATTACATGATTTCACATCCCTAATAAATTAGCGTAACTAATCCCATTCACTTACGCTATGGATTAAACAAAGTATATATTATTTATTATATACATATGGGTTAGATTTGTATATGATTTTTTATTATTTATTTAAAAATATAAAAATATTCATTAAAATAATATTTAATAATGTTTTAGAACAATGTATAAATTAAATTTTAAAAGGTTGAAATGTATTACAAAATACATTAATAATAAACTAAGATCTTAACAAATAAACTGTATCAACATAGTTTATACAATTTTCTTTCCTTTCACTATTGATATGTTTACCTCTTAACTTTAATTTTACAATTTCTTTTATTTGTTTAAATATATATCATCGTCGATCAAGATCTTAAAATTATCTTTATTCCATCATATTCATTTAGATTATGAGTTCTCAACTCACAGAAGGACTCTCCTTCCTTCCCCTAGAATCTCCCTTCACTCCCCTCTAGATAGAATTAGAATTAGATTTAAAATTTATCAAAGTTTTAGAAGAAATTTATTTAAAAGGAAATACATTTTAATAATTTTTCAACTAAACTTACATTCATTTAACTAATGACATTAATTCAATCATGTGTTCAATAAACAGTATAGATACATGTATAGATATCGAATATCATAGTGATGAGATAATATATATTCTTAAAAAAATGCTATTTGATATAAGCAATATCATTTACCCCTATTTAAATATTAGATTCATCATCTACATAAAAGGGTTCCAAATGCAATTGAATGAGCCCACTGGAATAAACATTCATAATCAATCGTTTTTTTCTTTTTCTTTTTCTTTTTCTATCTAAAAGGGTATGCATCACTAAATGACATATAAAATGGGATGAAAGTTCATCAAAAACAAAATTTTAACCAAAGTTTTAGGCACTTATAATCCTTTGCATGTCATGAAGCATGAGGGATCAAGCTGGCAACAGGGGCCTTTTGTTACTCTTCCAGTTGAAACCATCTCAAAACATACAAATATAAATTAGACATTCAGAATGACAGAAATAAACATATATTTGTGTATCCAAATTCCAAACTTTAGACTTTCACCTGTCAAAGTAGTAGTAAAAGAAGTCTGCATAAAGGAGTGTTTGAACAATCCCGGAAATCCAAGCTGAAATAGCCATAAATGGAACAACTTTAAAAACAAATGATCATAAGAAACATTAAAGAGAGCAAATAGAATGAAGAAAGAAGACCATAACATATGCATGTGGTAGTTCTGCTGTGCGGAGAGAAATTTAAAGCTAATTTACAGCGGGTTTTAACCTAAAATATTATCATGTCTACTCTAAAAAGTTATACAATTGGTAATAATTTAGGTTACAAATACATTGCGCCTTTTTAACTTAAAATATTACCATGTCTACTCTAAAAAGTTAGAGTAATAATTTTGATTAAAACTGATAATGTTACATGAGTTTCTTGATGGTAATTTTTTAGGTTGCAACCAGAATAGTAATGCAATTTACATGATTTTTTATGGATAACGTAATATTTTCAGTTTCAACCTAAAATGTTATCCAATTTACTCTAAAGAGTAACACACTTGGTAAGTTTTTCGGTTATAACCAATTATAGCCTTTTTTTTTTTAACCTTATATTAACCAGTTGTATTTTAGACTCCCCATATGTATGTTGCAGACATGAATTCACATCATAGCAACTATGTTTTAATTTTTTTTAACGATGTAAAACAAATAGGTCCTAGAAATCCCAACAATAAAAATAAAACATGAAAAGTGGCTGCAATATCAAGCTTAAATAGATTAAAATTCAAATCTTTGGCTATGTATCAACTGGATGTTAAATTTGCTCACCTCTCCACCAACATGGTAAAGAATTAAAGGGACAAAAGAAAAAGAGAAGAAAGAAGCTCTTAGCAGATTTTACAATGCAAAAGCTTAAAAGTTGAAACAGAGACTAATTTATAAGTGTGAGAAATGTACAAAATTCAAAGAATACAATCTCGGAAAGAAAAAAAATAGAGAAAAAGACTTACGTATCCAGTGGACATAGTGTGGTTCAGTGAAATACCGATAAATCCAGTTAAGAATGTATAATCCTTGATATGCACTGCAATATAAGAGAGACATATAAGCAAATCTGTCCATAACAGACAATCCTAAACACCTGATCTGATTAACAAAAGGAAAACTTGGTTGTTTACACATCTAGGAAGACATCATCGAGTAAGTATTTTAAACAAATACCTCATTTTTTAAATTCAAACTACATATCATGGTCAAAGAGCAGTTGTTTTGGAATCATATGCAGACAACAGCCAAATATTTATAGTTTTAGGTTGCCAAAATATACCTTTTATGTAGCTTTCTTCAATGCAGCTTGTAACTCTAATTCAAGCCTATTATTCTTCTCTTTTGGTCCTACGACACAATGGATATCAAATCGAGAAGAGTAAGATTATCACATTACGAGCAGCAAAAATCCAAGTCACTTTCACTTGAAACTTCAAACATAAACCTTCACAAGGTTAGGAAATTTCGAACTCACAAAAATAGCAAACTTCATCGAGTCCTAAACAACAGCAGAAAACCTAAAGAATCCCAAATGTAACCCGGAGGAAAGCCCAAAGTTTTGATAGTGAGACTGAAAACTGAAAATCTCTGGTTCAATCTAGTGATTGTCAACTGAAAAGTGATGAGGCTTAATAAATTATTAAAAGTTGAAACATATGGGCATAACCAATTCAAACAACAACCACAGTGACATTAAACGAATCAAACAGAGCAAAAGATCTAAGATATAGTCAATAAATCAAATAAACACTCGTTTAAGAAGATAGGATTAAGCATACCCAAGAAGAAACACATATTTCTGGGTCCTTTGCAGGAGTACAAACTGAGGAAGTATGGAAACAGGTTCTAGATACAACGAAAAAGTCCACAATACCTGGAACCCCATTTTCCATGAGTCAAATATATAATATATATTTAAAAAAAACCATAATTAAAAAAATGAAAAAAAAAACTCCTTGAAGGTGAATTTCTCATGAATGAGAAGGGCCAAGAGCAAGCAAGGCAATAGCAGAAAATAATGGCGGAAAGTGTCTTGGGATTTATCTCAAGTCCTTCTAACAAAGTTGTAGACACTTATTTTCGTCCAATACTTCAACAACAACAACAACAACAACAAAACCTTGATTCTCATATGTAATGGGGTAAGGGGAGGTAGGGTGGTAGGCTGACCCCAACGCCAGGTTGAGGGCAGCTTCCGTGGAAGACCTCCGGCATTCAGAAAATTAAAAATAAAGATAAGATGCAAATGCGTGTATAAATAAATAAATAAATACATAGATGAACAGTCTTCATATGCAGTCTTGATATGTGCGTCTGTAATGTGGAGTAATCCCTGTAAATAATTCCCTGCAAATAATTCCCTACATAGAAATCTCTGCATATAGACTAAAGATGTAAGACCCAGCTAAATTTAAAAAGAGGAAACATGAATAGAAATGATACACAGAAGTCAATAATAGCAAGCTACGAGAAGGAATAAATTCAAATGAGTTAATTCTTAAACTAGGGCAACACTACTCCGATACCCAAGTTCTAAGCCTTCATACATTTCAATGAAAGAAACATGTATAAAGTAGAAGTCATGGAAAGTACTACAAAGACATTAAAAAGAAGACAGAGATGTTACACCCTATGGCTGTGAACCGCACTACTCAACTACCCTGGTCTTAAGTCTCCATACTTTCCTATCAGAGGTCATGTCTTCGTCCAATACTTCAATGGTCTTAATTACATCATATAGTATATATGATCATATATATATATATATATATGTATATATAATTTTAAAAATATATAATATATATAATTTTAAAAATATATAATATATATAATTTTTGAAAATATATAGTATAATTTTTTAAAACATATATAATATAGTTTTCAATATATATATATATATATAGTTTTTTAAAATGGTTTTTGAAAACATATATAATATATATAATCTTTGAAAACATATTATATTGTTTTTGAAATATAATATATATTATATAGTTTTAATACATACATATTATTAGTATTAGTATTTTATTTTCCGTTTTCTTATCTACTTTTTTACTTTTATTTTATTAATTTATTTAATTTTATTTTTATTTGGGTCTAATAAAATAGTCTAAAATGAGGCTAACGTCCAAGTCCAACCAGTTCAGAGTGCATCCCAACTGAGCAAGCAGGTCTGACCTAGCAAGCAAGCCCGGTTAGGGGTAGGATTGACCTAGCCCAATAAGCCCAGTAGTGGATTAGGGTTGTGTAAAACCTAAAATGTCAAGGGCGCCGCACAGAGGGACCAAGCAGCTGGTGTCAGCGCGCGTGGAGGCCACACACTAGCATGGTTTGAAAACTGGCCGAGATTTTTGGCTGGAAAATCGCAAGATTGGGGTAACAACTCTCACGAACGGCACTCGGCCGGATGTCCAACGAAGGAATCAGATGGAAATCCCGCCCCTTTCGAAGCTATAACGGTCGGAATCCATGCTATAAAAAGCCTCCGAACAAGCCATCAAGGGACACGACAGAAACCGAGTAAACCAACAGAGAAACGAGCAAGAGACATAAAAAACACCCAAGTGATCGCATAACAAAGCAAAAACAAAATAACCAAGAAAAAATCACAAAACAAAATATTAAAAGCCTTCGTCGAAAATGCATAGAAGCCTTATCGGAAAAGGAAAGACGTCAGTACTCGAAGAGTCGCCGATTTAAAGTTAAAAAAATTGAGACTTTAATCCTAGATCTACGTTGTTTGGGGTTTTTAGGGAATTTGGGGTTCGGTTTTAACTTTAGGGTGTTGAGGCGAATGTTTAGGGTAAGTTTGTTTTTTTCGGCCACCGGAGGCGGTGGTTTGGGCGGCGGGCATGGCCGGATTTTTGGCCGACCATTGGCCGATTGAGGGAGGTTGAAAGAGAGTTGAGAGAGTTTTAAAGGGGGGACGTTATAAATTTAGGAAACTGTTGAAATGATTTAATTTTGTGGTTTTGGGCTTTATATAGGGGGACCTCTTTGTAATTACAAGATTTTTAAATTATTTATGCAGTTCTCGTACCTTTGTTGCATAATTCATTTTGGTCACCTATTTTAGATTTGCCTTTGAATTTATTCAATTTAATCCATGATTATATTTTTTTATATTTTACAAATTAACCCCTAACTTTTTATTTTTCCTTGCAACTTTCAATTAGCATCAATTTAACCCTTTAATTTTTAATTCTTTCAATTTAATCCTTTTGTATTTTTTTAAATTTAGTATTTATTTTATTGTTTAATTTGACCTTTTTAGGGCAATTTTAAATTCATCAAAGGTAAGTAATTCAGATCGAATATTTAAATTTAAATTTAAATTTTTTAATTTTTTGCAATTAAGACAACTGAAGTATCAAATTTGTACCGAAAGGGCAATACAAGGGTGTTAATCATTCCTTAACTGTAATCGACTCCTGAATCCGATTAATTTCTGGTAAAATGCAGATTAGGTAAATGGTAAGTTACGGTGTCCGATCAACCTAATTCCAAATTAATCGGTGGCAGCTCCAACACACTCAATTCAAGTCGGAACCCGATCTCGGGACCACTCGAATGACGGTTACGACAACTTGGCGACTTCACTAGGGACAGGTAAAAAAGTCATGCCAAAATTGATTTCTGGTTGTCTTCTTAAGCAAAAATTGTAAGTTTTGATTATAATTTATCATTTCGATCATTGTTATTTACCTTTGATTATTATTTTTCCCAAATAAATAGTTGTAATGATGGTTTTCTAATGATTTCAGCTTTTTTTTTAAAACAAACATTCATCTCAGGCCCTATTCTCAGGCTCCAAACTTTTTTAAGTGGAGGTGAAAGTGATGCCTTCGTGAGAATTTATTCTCCGTATAGGCTTAGCAAGTAACCTTCCGGATTCATGTACCTTATGTTTTCGTGTGAATTTATTCTCTGTACAGATATAAGGGAATGTGTCCTCTTGAGTTTAACTCGGTCCACATGAGCCTGTAATGGGCTTAGGATTGAGGGTTTGGTAGACCCCAAGGGGGCACCAACAAGGAAAACTCGGGTACATTTTTAGAACCAAACTATGATGTTGCAAGGAATTAGAGCCCACTCTAAAATTTCATTTCAAAACCTAAGATGCTTGATTTATTTCTTGCTTTATTTCTGTTCGAACCATGCGAATTATAAATATATGCAGTTAGGATTTGTTCAAGAAATGCGGTATAAAGATCATGTCCGGGTAGTAATAAAAAGCATATAGGGTGGGAAATTTTAATTTTATTTTTAATTATTATTCCTATTTTACTAACTTGTTTCCTTTCATTTTTGTTTTCTTTTCCATTTTTATCATTTGCATCATTTAAAGAGGCGTTGATCTACAAAAGTGTTCATTAAAACCCGCATAGTTAGCATTAATGGACAAAGGGGTTATAATACAAGAGGTCAAGAATGTAGAATTACGGCTATGGTCAGAAAGGACTCAGAAAGAAAAAAGGGGACAGTCTGTAGAACAACTATGTGTCAAACTTGGCTGGCTATGCTTCCATCATCCTCAAACAAAATGATACTTAGGAGTTGCAGAATATTTGGGATAGTTGGAAAATCGACAAAAAATATAAGTTTTGCCAACGATACGGTGATATCGCACACCTGCTCTATGTCAAGTTAGAAAAACCCCTAATTTGAGCCCTAGTGCAATTTTGGAATCCGGGATACAATCGTTTTACATTAAACCAAGAAGACATGGTGCCCACAATTAAAGAATGCATTACCCTGTTATATTCTGAGGGAATTAGAATGGACCGAGTCTTCATCAAATACATCAAAAGTCAGCCTTTCAAGAATGGGTTGGCAAAAGTTGCAAGGGTTTATAAAATATGGGTAACTGACCGGATTCAACACAAGGGCAAAGAAGAAGGAATTGCTTGAACACACATCAAGCAGTTAATGAAGAATCATCCTAACGAATGGAATGTGATCGATCATTTTGCACTGGGTATCTATGATTTGGTTATCTTCCAAAATACTTTAGGGCACATTGAGACATATATAGTGGAATTGTTTGAACAACTACCAAAGTGAGTAAACCCAGTACCAACAATCCTAGCTAAAACTTTCCGCTCACTAAACCATTGTAGGAAGACTAGAGGTGGACGTTTTATAGGATGCACACAACTACTTCAGGTTTGGATCCATAATCATTTTTTAAAAATTGACTTGGTTTCTTATCGTCGGTTCAGCATATCATATTCACCCTTGGAAGAATTCCTTAAACAAAAATGGCGAGAATGCATTCCAAAGGAAAAGTGGGCAAATATATTTATACACCTCCAGGATAAGGACATCGTATGGAGAGCCTCTTCCTTGACTTATACTGACATCTTTTACCCGTGTGGAGATTTGGGAGTAATAATGTTACTTGGGTTGTGGGGCGGAGTTGGATATTCCCCACTTTTAGCACTCCGAAAGTATGGGGCACGTCAGTTTGTCCCAGTCACACATGAGATATCTGGATCTGAATTTTCATATCAAGAGGATAACTACAAGAAGAAAGTGAAAGATATAGCCGAGTCTTGGAAAAGGATATTTTGTACAGATATTGTAGCTACTAAACAATTGCTTACTCTAGACTATATGGAATAGAGGAAACTGAGGAAGAATGATACTATTCTCATACCAGACCATGAAGACACTCAGACTATTGAAGAGCATCTTTAGCCAGTTCCATCTTAACTGGAAATAGCAAAGATAAAATTTAAAGTTGAAAAAGAGAAATTGAAGAAAATATTGAGAGAGCTAGAAGCCGAGAAGTTCCAGTGGAAGCTGGATGCTGATACTCAAAAGTACCGAGCAGATATATTAGAAAAGGAACAGAAGAAAGTATGCTTTGAGTTAGAAGATTTGAGAAAAGAATATCAAGAACATGTTCAGAAAAAGACCAGCTTGAAAAGATCTTCTGAGTAGTGGAAAGATGAAGCCGACAACCTAAAAAAGAAAATTTGAATGACATGATGATAGGGAAGCACTAAAAAACCAATTTAGAGCTTCCCGAATATAGTTATCAGAAAGTCAGCATCAAAATAATCGATTGAAGACCAAGGTAACTGATATCGAGAAGTCCGAACAGGATGACAAAACTATAACAGAACTGTAGGTCATCGTGGACAAATTCAAGAAGCAGGCAAATAAACTCCAAACAGTTCCCTTTGACGTAGGGTACCAGTGGCGTTTCCATTGGGAACAGGCTCAGCAAAGGGTAAAAGGTAGAGATACAATCATTCAGGACTTCTTAGAGCATGTACAGAAAGTGGCACGCCACTTGCATGGTTTAGTAAGAGAGGCCGGGGTGGTTTGACAATGTATTCAGCCCATGACAGAAGAAGCGATAAGACTTGTTAACATATTAGAAGCTGTTTAGGGTCTAGAAGATCTAGCTAGAATGTACCTTTGAATTATTTTTTGTCTCTTAGAAATAACACTTTTGTCCCAATAAAGACTATTTATAATAACATACCGTTTTGGATCAATGCCTCAAATATTATCATGCATTTTTGCATATTTTTTCTTTACAATTAAATTAACTAATAGAAAATGTCTCATAAAAAAGGAACACTGGACACACCTCATCCTCACAATACCCATACAAATAAAACGAAGATGGAAACAAAGATTGCCCAACTTGAGGAAAACACACTTAGGCTGCAAAAGGAGCTTGAGGAGAAAATAAGTCAGAATCAACAAAATACCTTGGATTCTATCATTAGGAACCAAGATTCATTGGTTGACCAGATTGTTGCCAGGTTATCTTACCTGAATCAAATGAATGCTTTTGAGGCAGGGGCATCTGAAGGGGTGGATGTACCACCTACTCTACAGTTGGTTATTTCACCTGGAATTCTACCAGAACTTCAAGGGGATTCATCTGCTACAAAAGAACAAGCCTTTGTAACCAAACCTCTAAATAATCCAGATGGTTATTGATGTAAGGTAATTCTACCTTCTCGTTTGACTGTGGATCTAGGAAGGAAGCAAAACAACCTGCAAAATGAATGGCTCAAAAATAGAAAGGTTAAGGTGGTAAACGTAAGGGTGAAGAGGTGGTCTGTTTAATAATTAAGAGATGAAAGCGGAAGTTGATGGATATGGCTATGGGTTTGGTTATCGAAACAATGGAATGGATGAGAGGATAGTATCTTAAAAAAGGCTTAAAGACGAACCAATGCTATAGAGAGCAGAGACCCAGACTTTATATTGCTTCTTTAAGGGGTGGTTTACAAGTACTTTGACCCACTAGTTATAAAGAACTAGGAACCAGAAGTATCAAGGTGAAAAGGAAGGGGCTGATGCCACAAGTAATAAATACTTGATAAGTCGATAAAAAGTCACCAGGACTTAAGAAAGAGAATAATCTCACTTCAATTAAAAATAATGGTCTGCTTACAAATGATGAATGCTTTCCTATTTATAGGAAATGGAGAGACATGGCCGAATAATTACAAGGAGATTCGGCCAGCCTTGTGCCATCCTAAAATGACATAATTTAATTCATAAATAACTTGAATAAATATGTGCTGGTTTGGTTGAAGTGTAGGGGTATGTCTCATGGCCGAATAGCACTTGAAACCCTTCAAGTTGGCGCCAAATTGGAGGAGTAATGGTGTTTGGCTGAATGGATAGATGGCCATTCATCTTGGTGCCTAAATGGAGTCACACGCCTAGCACATGGGTTGGCTGGTCACAAGGCGTGCACATGGCTTCTCTAGGATGCTTGTGGTGCATCCTTATGCATATGATGAAGTCCAAGCATGGGCAGCAACCTTGGCGTGACTTGAGTTTCCTTCAAGCTAGCATGTGTTTAGCTAGCTTTTGATAATGCAGGTGGCGAATGAGCTCCTTAGCCGTGACCTTCCAAGCTTCATAGCATCTCATTCAGCTACATTCAGCTACACTTTATGTCACTTTTAGCAACTTGACTTCAAATAGTCCAACTAGCTAAGATTAGCTAGCCTTGAGCTCCTCCAGCTGAGTTGAGCTTTTCTTAGTGTTCCACAAGCTGCCATGATATTTGTGAGCTATTTATGAGCTGCATAAGACGTCCAAATACTCTACCAAGCTGTCCCAACATGTGCCATGCTCCAATGTACCTACATGTGTAAAGAAAACAAGGTAATTCAATGGTATTGAGCTTGTATAAGCTAATTGCCTTGTTGTCATGCATAATTATGATCTTGTGAGCTATAAATGCATGATATGAGCTAATGGGCCGTTTTTCTAGTACACTTATTAGAATCTTGAGGAAAGAGGGCTAAACATATATACACTTTTGTATATACCCTTTGTTAGACACATCGAGAACTTTGGTGGATGAAGGGGTTAGTTGTGTATTATGAGTTTACCCCCATCTTAGAAAGTTCCAGACTAGTTTCACTTATCTAAGAGAAGAATTGCTCATCATCACTATGTACTAGTTCCAGATACGTTCACTAGTGCTTAAGCAACTAATCTCGCTATTGCTCTTCTCGTGTTTTAAACTTCATTGCTATCATCTTTACGAAAGAATTATTTCGCATTAGTGGGGGAATGTTGGTAATGCTCATTGAATATTGATATTGGAAAATTAGGTAAATGCTCATTGAATATTGGAAAATTAGGTAATGCTTATTGAATATTGGAAAATAGGTAATGCTCATTTAATATTGGAAAATTAGGTATTTCCACTAGCATTGAAAATGACTATTTTGCCCTCACTATTTAGCCTATAAATAGAGAACAATTTCATTCATTTTGTATCATCCCAAGCAAACATTTGTTTTGAAATACTCATATCTTAAGAGTGTTGTTTGAGTTGAGAGAAGAACAATACCACCAAGTTCACTCCAGTTTTCAGGTGTACGAATTCTTGGAGAGCCGTGTTAATCTCAGGGGAACGGTCCGCCTACTGCAGCGATTACACACATCGGGGCGAATTCGTTTCTAAGGCAGTAGTTTTTACCACGATACGGTTATCATTCTGATTTATTATTTTATTTAATATTTTTCAGTCAGTACTAACGCCTCGTTTTGCAGCAGTCTATTTTACCAGCATCCTCCACTGGTGCTTCCGAGCCACGGGATCAGCTACTATGAACATTAACATCGGAAGTCGGGATGCGGACCGAGGTGGTCCAGGTAGAAGCGGTTCGCTTGATCCGTAGCTTATCCCGTAAAGTTTTCCAACACTTGTTATCCTTGATAGACCTTTTGTCTCGAATAATATCCCGAAGCGTACGGTGCCGGACCAGATCATTCCGGCCATTGCCAGTCGCCGGCATCTGCTCAAAAGGCTTAAGCCTCCCGTTACTACTCTCCATCACATTACGTTTTCTAAAAAGGCACACGTTGTTGGATTTCATGGAATGGAAAATGAAAGACGAAGAATCAAATTACAACTTAAGAGAGAAACAAAAACTGTGATTAAAAGTGAAATCATTGTTACTTAATAATGATAAGCAAAACAAACATTTGCAGAAACAGAACACAGCCTTCAATTATTCACCCCTAAAATACAACTACATATGGTTAATTTTACATAATATGAGACATATAATCAAACCAATCGTATTTTCTCCGCATTATTAATATTAAAGTAATAATATACTAAAGAATAAAGGACGTCCTTTGCCTCAAACAAAGGTTTGGTTTTCCGTGTTGTGTCTGCTTGTCTCTGTTAGATTTCATTCTGGTATCTGTTTGATTTTTTCAATACTAGGGTTTTGGAGGGGATGGAGTTAGAAGCATTCAAAATCGGGTACCCACATTTTTTTAGGTATTATCGGTATTTAGGATTTTTGAGTGTCAAAATGCCGGTATGTGTTCCGGCCCATTAGGTTTGGGTACCCTTACTTTCGGGTCACGAGTACCTAATTCATATCTTTTTTAAATTATATTATTTTTAAAAAAATTATATAAATTTTTTTTAAAATTTAAAGTTCTATAATACATAATTTACTTTCGGGTCACGAGTACCAAATTCTCATTTCATCACTAATCTTTTCAACACTTGCAACTTGATCCCTAAGATTTATTTAAATTCTAAATCAACCCAATACAACATTCCATGTTAATCTAGATGCAACATTTCATCAATCCAACCATAATTTCCAGCATGGTACTCTAGTTTTCTAACAATTTCCTATTAATCCTTCACTTTTCAAACCACGCAAAAATAGTCCCTTAAACCCAACAAAGTTCCAATTTGATCAAAAACACAATTTCCAAGCATCTAAGATCATTCTAAACCATTCACATATGAAACTAATAAATTTTTAACATCTCTCCATAATACCCCATCATAGCCAAAACTTTCAATTAAGTCCCTCCTAATCATTTCCAATCAATTTCCATACTTGTTATACTTACATAACACTCCTAAATTAAGTTAGATTACAACCTTATCTCAATCAAATTCAACTTTCTCTTCAACCACCATAAATACCCACTTCATCATTTAAGCGTGAAACAATGAAATACCTATACCAATTTGTAGAGAATTAAGTGTATAACATTTTCTTATTTCACAATTTAGTCCAAAGTCTCACTAAAATGGATCAAAAATGAAAAAGAAAAACTTTGCTCACCTTGTCTATGGAGTCACGGCATAATGGAGAAGATGGGAGGAGAATTCTTGAGTTTTCCATACAAATATCTCTTAATTTATCTTAAAAATCAATTAAAAATTCATTTTAGCCCAAAAGTCAAAATTACCCTTAATGAATCCTAATTTTTACCACCATACCATCCTTTTATCTCCATTTTAATATTATTAAATAAATATAAAAAAATTATTTATCAATTTCCATATTCACCCTTCCAATTTTCCAAAAATTTAATTTAGTCACTAAATTTCACTATTCCACTTTAACATGGAAATTCCTCCAAATTCCACTAATTCACATCAAATTATACTAATTAAAAATATCAATATAATTTTTATAACCTCAAACTTCCTTTCTTCAAATTTTGTAAGCTACCGATTCGATCTGATTATCCAAATATTTTACTGGACTCTATCGCTTAATAAATTTTTATACCAACTTCAAATCAAAATTCTAAAGCCCACTAAAATTATATTCTTGGGCTGAACTACTAAACTACATACCCAAAATATAAAATTTGAAAATTTACATTTTTAGTCGCTAAACTTTTACAAATTTACACTTTGATCCCCATACTTTCAAAATTTACTTTTCAATTACCAGTCCAAAATTTTGGGATATTACAAGGTGGACGAGTCAATGGTTCAGATAATTTGGGTAGATTATTTTTGGATACCCCTAGATGGAGATAGCAAATAGGGATCGAACCAAAACTTAATCTTAATATTGGTCGATTTTTTAACCATTTTGAATTTTATACATAATTTTATCTTTATTATTTATTTGTTTCAAAAAATATAAATAGTAACATAACACGTTAGGTCTATCATTTCTACGAAATAATAAATAGAAATTTAGAAATAAATTAAAGTAAAAAAGTGTAATTTTATAAGGTGAGAGAGACATACTTACCATATAATTATAATAATTAATAAAACATGTTACTCTTTGAAATCTCGAAACGTATCCATGAGTGATGTACTAAAGATTCTTACAATATTTCTTTTGATTTTGATAAACATGGAACTCTAAAAAAATTCATCATCCATTTTGTTACAGAATGTTATTTTGATGACAATCATTACAAAAAACCTCTTTCAATTCCTACAGCAGAAACTGAGAGGGTCAATTCAAGATTGATTAATCGGAATATATATGCATAAGTGTGATTGTTACTCGTGTTTTTTTTTGGAGAGACTGTGGTTGTAAATAGGGTGTATGGGAGATGTTCGCAGATGGTTCAATGTCATATTTTTTGACAAGTCACAAATTTGCATATATTTCGTATTAGTTCTCTCATATTTAGTGACCTCAATTATTAAGTCTATCTTTTATTAGATTTTGTATTTTACATGTCAAAATATGTCTGACGTGTATTGGAACTAAAATTGAAAATTTTGATGAGGTTTGAAAACTTAAAGAGCATAAGGACAAATGACATTCCTACTTCCTTTAAAACTCTCTCTATTTTTTTTAATATAATAAGGATAAACCTAAAGAATTTAACCTATAATTTAAAATTTTATTTCTATTTTGTACTACGGTTAAGATAAATCAAAAGGATTCAGTCTACAATTTAAACTCTATCTTTTCTTTTATTTGATAGGGATGATCACTACTGTATAAAGGATCATTATGAGAGAAGAAGAACATCTCTCATTCTTTTTTTATTCTTAGATTTTCTCTTTCCTCGTGAGTTGCTAAACTACTTCATATGGTCAAGGTTATTTCAAGATTTTTAATTCAAGGATTCGTGAGGTTTTCCGATCTTCATCTTCTTTATTATTTTTGAGTATTTAGAAATATTTTAATACTGGCAGTGAAATAGCCTAAGAACGTGTGTTTGAATCATCCACGTCGGCGTGAGTTGGTTAACTAATGTTTGAATCTCTTTATTTCATAAAGTTTTTGAATAGATTAAATCCCATGAGCGTCTCAATGAGGTTATCCAATTAATAAGAAAATTAATCAATTGAGCGTCTATTTGGTTAATAGTAAACTAATAAGAGATTAGTTAGGTGTCCTGAATAACCATAATCAACATATTCACAAAGTGTTTAGGTAGTTCTAAAATAAGTTTAGTGATCAAATCATGAGTTAATTTTTGTGATTTACTTTGACTAAATATCATATCATAATTTAGTTTCAATTTTTTAAATTACTTTAATTATTTTTTTAATTTAATTTATATTATACAACTGTCTCTGTAACTACTATTGTGTTTGTCAGAAAGATTATGTTTCCATGGACTAACCTCAAGACTCTGTTGTGTCACCTTGACAACCTGCTGCTGCTCAAACCACGCCAGAGATTTGCATATCTTGCAATTATAGCATTGTCGATTCGACAATGGAAATTGCACAATCGGAAAAACAAACAAATTCATCTTCCTGGATTCAAAGGTCCGTAGTTTCTTCGCCAACATGAGTATGTGCCCTGGATTCATAGTTTTGCTCTATTTTTTAGCAAAAAGAGTTTGAACTAAAAACACATTGAGTAATTGGAACCAACCTATTTCCATGAATGCGAATTTTCCATCATAGTTCATACAAAGCAAGGACTTAGGGAAGCAATCAGAACACACTACTGTCACCAATTTAGTTTCGAAGTTAACAGTTCAAACCCATTCTCATCTCCCTAATTGCCAGTTTTATAATTTCTTCTCTGAGAAAATAGAAACTTACAGCAAAGCTGTTGTGTTTGAAATGTTCCATGGACTCAGCAAGCTCCACTTGCTTTGATGCAGTTGCAAGCAACGCCTACAAAATTAAGTCCTTGTTTAGTGAGCAGAACATACGAAGGTACAAAAACTGGTTGCAACAAAGACTGTAGAAAGAATTCTTTCTTTCTTTGTTCTCTGAAAATAGAATCATGTATTCTTTTTCAGGAGGAATTTTTGCGGGTTTGTTAAAAAGCTCAGTTACCAAGGTTTCTAAATTTAGTAGCCTCTGCCAACATGGATGGAGCCAGTCCTCTTTTGCCCCTGAATCTACTTGTGGGTTTAAATCTTGTGCTTCCGAAAATCATCCCAGTCCAGGGGCAAAGAAAAATATACATGCCAAAAATTTTAGAACAAAGTAAACCACAAAGTCTATTACATGGTGGACGAACTTCTTTCTTGGATTTCTTGGAGTAGCACCACTGGTTGCATCATCTGCCAACAGCAACAAATAAGTTACAAATTTTAATATTTCCTTGACCATCAAAAGGCTAATTACTGCCACTAATTATGCTTTACTTCCCCCTTTATCAGTCTTTACGATAGTTTACTACGATATAGTCGGAACAACTGTATCACTAGAACATGTTAGAAAACTACCACAACATGCACTGAAATTGACTGATCTGATTGAAAGCGAGAAGATAAACACAAATGCAATCTTCATCAAGGATCATTCACTTGTTGAATTCGCTTCTTCAGTTCTTGGCAGTATTTTCTGGTTCAATAATTTCATGTTTTGAATTAAGAGCATTCATCCTTCTCTGACACGTGGATTTATAAAGATTAAATAACACTTTTGCAGAGTAGCACAAGAGGAACATGGATTAAAAAGTCAAATGATCAAATTCTTCTAGTTAAAAGAGAAGCCAGAATGTTGGTGAAGCAGAGCCAATTACTTTGAAAACCTTACATCGGATGAATAAGATATTTCACTACTTGCAACCTGCCAAAGAGCCAATTATAATGGAATAAGATGCACAGTATACAAAATTTGAAATGCTCATGAGGTAAAAGATGACTTTTTCAGAAATAGTACGAAAAATGAACACTATACATACTAAACACCCTGCTTCAGATCTACAAATATCAGTTCCACTTCCGAGCTTAACCATAAGCTAAGCATATCATATATCCAATATCTTATGTAATCATCAATCTTAACAGCTCAACAATGAGTAGTTCCTCAATGGACATATCAGGAACTAGCATTAACCCATAAACACCAACACGTCAAAAGCAGCGTAAGAGAAGGAACTATGAAAGAAAAAATACCATCAGCAAATGAAACAGTCAAACAGTGCCTAGTTACATATAAAAACATACCTTGTCAACAAGTACGTGTATGAACATAAGAACTAATGGTCAACCAAAACTACAACTGTTTGTCGGACAAATAGACACTCTTGGGACCGCAAACAAGTCATGTATTACCTAGGCATGTTTGAATATTACCATGCTAAGAATGATTTACTCGGGAATTTTGACAGCTCATATCCACATTATTTTAACTCATCGATAAAAAACAAATGTTAAGAATCCTAACATATCAAACTAGGCAGATAATAGGTGTTAAAATAGGCATAGAAAAAAGGACCATACCAGTTTGAAAGTTAAACTTTGAAGACTAAATATAAGGGTCAAGTACGTAATTTTCAAGAAGTGAGAAGTGGCTAAAAGCCATAACTATGAAAAAAATATTTTGAAAAGGTTAAAATATTTGAATATGTTGTCAACCTTACACCTGCCACAGAGATTGTGAGTGTGTTTCATCAGCATTGAGAAGATTAAGAGGAAAGCATGTTTCTGAACCCTCTTAATTCTATCCATTAATCAACCTTTGGAATGTAACCTTCCCTCTTCATCTCCACATTTAACAACACAAAAACTTGATGAATCTCAATTGAATGATATAGCAAGTCATCTCCAGCAAGAAATTCATGAAGTTGACCTTCAATGTCAATCCAGCTACAACCAGGAGTCTTATTGACACCCCTCTGTCTCATCAACACCCTCATTTTGGCTGATTCATCCCACCTTCTTGAGTTTGCATATATCTTTGATGAGATAACATAGTTTCCAGAATTTGAAGGCTCCATTTGCAGAAGAAGTTGCATCACCTTCTCACTAACATCGAGATTTTTGCACTTTTGACAGGCACCAAGTAGTGCTCCCAATACAATTTCATCTGGTTTTTCAGGCATATTCTCAATGAAATCCCAAGCCTCATACAGTTGACCAGCACGTGCCAAAAGATCAACCATGCAAGAGTAATGCTCAATTTTTGGGGTTAAACCATACGACAAGCTCATCAAGTTAAAATACCGCCAGCCTTCATCAACTAATCCAACATGCACACATGCTGAAAGTACTCCCACAAATGTCACATCATTTGGGCGGGCATCCATACCTTCTGTTGACATGCGCTCAAATAGTGATAAAGCCTCCTGAGATCGCCCATGGAAAGCAAAAGCAGAGATCATTGCATTCCATGAAACCTCATTTTTTATAGGCATGTTTTCAAATACTCTTTGTGCATCATACAAGCTCCCACACTTGGCATACATATCAACCAATGCAGTAGAAACAAAGATATTGTGTTGTAAGCCTCTTTGTGATGCATATGTATCAATCCATTTCCCCAAGTCAATGGCCCCAATTGAGGCACATGCTGAAAGAACTCCGGCCAATGTAATTTTGTCTGGGTTAACGCCTGCATCCTTCATGCCATGAAACAGCTTGATTGCTTCATCTGACAGTCCATTTTGTGCATACCTATTATGTATTGACAACATATCCTCTATTCAGAAGTTCAACAGAGATAATCATTTGATATAAAAATCATAAAATTTTGAACTATTTAAGAATTTATTGCTAGAAGAAGCCATTACTAGTACACATTATATCTGGCATAAAAGAAGGCTTTGGCTTGGATAAGATTGATTTCTCTAAAAACATAACGGATACAAACAGTAAATAAATTTCTCCTTTACATTCATTAACGTTTCCCTCTCTTCCTTTAATAATTTATTTTTCAAACATAGGGTAAATCTAAGGCTAATCAGGCCAACTTAAATGAAAATTTCTTATGCTATGGCACTTAAACAGAAACTAGAGACTACAATTGCACTGAATAAAATTTACTTACCCGGTGATCATAGCATTCCAGGTGACGATATCCTTCGGCAGCATTGCATCAAAGACCCTCCTAGCCGACGCCAAATCCCCACACTTCCCGTACATATCAATCAAAGCAGACACAATATATGAATTAAATTTCATCTTTTGTTTCATAACAAACCCCTCCACCCACATCCCTAGACTTAAATTCCCCAAGTCCCCGCAAGCCCCCAAAACGCTGACTAATGTCATCTCATCAGCTACAAACCCTTCCTCTCTCATCTTCACAAATAACCCCACCGCGTCTCTCGCATGCCCCATTTTAGAATACCCCGAAATCATTGAATTCCATGCCACCAAATCTCTCTCAGTTATTTCATCGAAAACCTTGCGAGCATCACCCAATTCGCTACATCGAGCGTACATGGTTATCAAAGAGTGAGTAGTATGAGGATCAAAGTCCAATCCAAGTTTAAATATCGACGAATGAGCTAACTGCCCATGGCTCAGCTCTAAAAGATTAGCACAGGAGATAAATAGAAAAGGGTAAGTGAACTTATTGGGTCGTAAGCCCAAAAACTTCATTTGATAATAGAAATGAAGAGTTGCAGAGTAGTTTTTCCATGTGGTGGTAAGGCCACGGATCATGACATTGAAAGCGTAATCGTTGGGTTGCGGGATTTGGGAGAAGAGAAGAGAAGCGTAGGCGAAGTTCTTGAGGTCAATGACTTTGGAAAGAAGGAATTTGGGCTTTTGAATGGCATTGATGATCATTTGGGTGTGGATTTGTCGTAAGTGCTTCGTGGAAGTGCATTTCTTTAACAGGGATAACAGCTTCTCTGTAAAAGATTGTTGGAAATGAGTTTCCCCAGGAATGATGATTGGGCGTGAAATCAGATATGAAGAGCATTTTGCTTTCAGCATTGCTTGTCGACGGATTTCAGCTTCCAGAAACCAAGTTTAAATATCGACGAATGACCTCACTGCCCATGGCTCAGCTATAAAAGATTAGCACAGGAGATAAATAGAAAAGGGTAAGTGAACTTATTGGGTCGTAAGCCCAGAAACTTCATTTGATAATAGAAATCAAGATATTACCCATAAAATCAAGATATTAGCTGTGGATGCTCTGCATTATAAGATTGAATGCCAACGATTGTTTCAAATAAAATGAAACCTACGGATCGCAGCTGTTGCACCTGGTGAAAATTGAATTATGTTATGATCGTATTGCTTTCAGCATTGTTTTATTTGACGTCGTTCCTGCTCTTATACATATGCTCTATAACTTGACTTATAAACAGCTTTTGGAAAATGTTTCAAGCCTTCTTCAAGGAGGAGTAATTCAAATATAAGAAAGAAGGAAAGACAAGACAAATGCATCACCGGCGACTGCGGCGGCAAAAGGCAAGACGATGTGCGAGATGTCCGACGACGGGGAAACACAGAAAATAAAAAAGGAGAAATCACAACCTTGGATCAATAATCTCCAATAATTTATTATGAAATTTGTTCCCAAGAACCTGTATAATCAAAGAAAACTAGTTGATTAGTTGAAACCAAACCCTCAAAGGTCCAAAAAGGATGTATATAATATATATTCTTCATGATCACATGTTCCAAAATTATTGTACATGAATCTTTGAAAAGAAAGGAAGAAAGGAAAAGTAGGAGCTTAAAAATTCCGAAAGGTTTTCTCTCGTTGCAACATCCTAGGGTCTTAAAAGTTAATCACCCATTTTTAATCCGAGTTCACTTTAATCCCCACTTTGCACTAATATTTTATAGAATAAATTTACTATATATTCTTCATGATCACATGTTCCAAATTATTGTACATGAATCTTTGAAAAGAAAGGAAGAAAGGAAAAGTAGGAGGCTTACCAGATTATTCCACGGAGGTCTTAAAAATTCCGAGAGGTTTTCTCTCGTTGCAACATCCTAGGGTCTTAAAAGTTAAGCACCCATTTTTAATCCGAGTTCACTTTAATCCCCACTTTGCACTAATATTTTATAGAATAAATTTACTATATATTCTTCATGATCACATGTTCCAAAATTCTTGTACATGAATCTCTGTCGTCGTCCTTGGATCAAGAATTCCATAGCAGTTTGAATCCATTTCCAGCATTAACCATGTACATTTGATGTAAAGTCTGCAGAAAGAATGCTGATATTTGTAACAGTTCAGGATATCATGCATGAATAATTCAGATATAATGTATATGATAATTTAGCTTAATGAAACAATGAACCCACCACAGGATAGTTGTCTCCAGCAATTTTCTGCATGCGCATTACAAGATCATGTGGCACCTTGCGAATGCTCATCCAGTTCTGTATAATAAAGAAGATGATACTGAGAAACATGATATTGAATGAATTGTATATATTCTTCAGTTTATGAACACTGACCAACCCATGCACATCGAATATTGTGGTTGTGCAATCTATATGCCTCTTGGCAGCAATAGAACAGGCTGGAAACTTCTCCACAAAAGCCTTCTCAAAGCCCTGCACGTGATATTTCAAAAATCTGTCCACTGTAGTAACCTTCCTCAGCTTGGAATGGTCAATTTTACCGAGTCTTTCGATATAAACAGGGTCAATCTTGCATAAACAACAATATAAACACAGTTACATTGTACAATCATAAGTAGTATGGTAGATAACTGACTAAGACAAGTTTAAATATGATAAGAGGAGCACATTTTACCTGTATGATAGTATCTACTCCATACTCTTTCCTCCACTTCAGCATATCCTTCCACATCTGACTGTTTTATCGAGGTCAAATTTCCTTGCTTTCAGAAATCTGCTAAAGATGGGACGATGAAAAGTGAAAGCTAGTACAAGGCTCAAAGCTCAATAAAAGAAATTAAGTAACAGAAGTAAGTTCTAAGCACGAATTTAAATAGCGTTCGTTATTGAAAAAGTGGTTGTTATATAACGATATAGGTGTCATCTAAAATTTTTATTTTATGATCACGATACCCGTAATGATCACAATAACACCCTCTATTACTGTAATTATGATAGACACAAGGTAAAAAAAAGGTGATCGCAATTACAATTTAAATCCCAAATCCTAAGTACGGAATGGTGTATAATCATGTAATTAATCAACAGAATTGGGTTTGAAGGAAGAATTGAGTCTTTGGGATCATATTATATTGAAAATTGTATCTTTTCATTCCAACCCATGAAAGGGATTGATCCAGCTCCTCCTAGAAATTTTAAATTTCTTATATTTTAGGTTTTTTTTTGTATTTTCTATTGATTATCTAATTTCGTATTCCTTAAAAATTTTATAACTTCGCACCCCTAACATGAATTCATGTGTCCATCTCTATATGAAAGCATAAGAAACAAACCTTTTGGTGAGGGTTTCCTCCTATCTCATGTGTGGCTTAATTGAGCAAATATGAAGCATTTTTGCTCATATTCTCCAAATGAATAAAGTCCCATTGTTCAAAGCTTCATGAAACCCTGAAAATGAAACCCTTAGATTAACCCTAAATTAGTACTCCAAATTCCAAATTAAGCATATATTTGTGAAACCCAAGTAATTTACTATTATCTAGCATCATTTATTTAATCTTCCAAACAGTGTACGTAAAACCCTATATTTCATAAGAGCTTAAAGTTTATGTTAAAAATTGATTTAGTTATTAAATTTAGCTTTGAATGTATGCCTTGCTTTGCTACATAAATTTAACTTCGAATGATTGAAGTAAATTATAAAACTTTAAATTTAAAAAAAACAGTAAGCAAAAAATAATTTAATTAGGACACAAATTCATTAAAATATGCATAGAAAAAATATTTTATTATGTAAATTGTGATATTTTAAATACGATGAAGAGATGAAAATGTAACATAGATAACAAACATGCAAAGGTATGCGTTCTAATTATTAATTGTCAAAGGCTAAATACTATAAATAATTGTAATTACTGACGAAAAGTTTTACAAATAGGTGAATCCATTAGGTGGTCATAATGGTAAAAGGGAATATTATTCTTTCTAATGGTCATGAGTTCATGTGATTACATCTACAGTGTGTTTGCTTAAAAAATCCTTAAATTATTCAAAAAATAATATCATCTGAATCTCAAGATCCGTCGTCGTATAATATGGAGTGTGATTGGAAGTACTTGGAACCCCATTCAATGGCTTCAGCTACTATCTTCACCATGACTTATAGCATCGGTGCTTGCAACCGGTGGACCGTTTCCGACAAAACTTAGAGCCGTGACCACGTCGCTCATCAGTGGACGTACAGTTGCCTCCTCTTGCAAGCACATGGCCGCAAGTGTAACTGCTTGATTCAAGCGTTTCCTAGGGAAATCTCCTTTAAGAAGTGGATCAGCCAGTTGCGGGAACCTGCTTCGTACCTTGAAGATTGGCTCAGCCTGGTATAAATAGGAATCACAAATAATTTAAATTATACACTTTTTATCAATAGATCATTTCTCTTTATTAATATTTCAACCTTAATTATCCTAATTTTTTATTAATATAAAATAACATAATATTATTAAAATTTTGAGGATTTAGTATCAGAACCAATTTTTTAAAAGTTAGACCGGTATCGAACCGATCAAACCATCAATTTTCAATTCAATAATAATTAAATAAAAATAATAAAAAAACTAATTTTCAATTGTTCATGAACATCATTCAATTGGTCAATACAATGTATATGTTTTATTATGAAGAATAATGTAAATTTTGAGTTAAAGTGAGTGTTGACTTTTCCTTGAGGTCTCGAGTTCATGTATCTGCGTTTGTATGGGGTGTGTGCATTATCAATGGTAAAAAAAGATTCCGAAGAAAAACTATCTTGTAATTATATCATACTATTAAAAGAAGTTTAGGATTTAGTTTATGGTTTGAATTAAGGGTTTCATATTAATATTTAAAATTTAGGCATTGTTTGATAAATTAAAAAATTAAGTTTTTTAAAAATAAATATTGAATTAAATATTTAATAAATTTAAGTTATAAAAATTGTTTAGTATTAACTGAAAATTAAGTGTTGCCTGTAAATATATTGTTTGCTAAATTTTAATAATAAACATTAAAAACAAAATAATATAAAAATGTTTAAGAATATCCAAAGTAGTAATAAGAAATTATTTTGATTTATTTTTCATTTAGAGAATAATATAATATGAAGATAAAAATAATAAATTTACTATATTCCCTATCTAGTTTTTTTTGTGTGTTTTTTATTGAAAAGTTCAATGAAATGTTTTTTTTAATTTTATTATCAATCACATTAAATAATTAAACAACTGAAAATGTTAATACCAATGAATTAAATTTGCTCATTTATCGAACAAATTCTTAGGTTTTTGGTTATGGTTTTATATTATCTATCGCATTATAAATAAAAATTTGAATATAATAATGGATGCAAGTGTAATCTAGAGTGTGTAGATACTCATTTTCGTCCGACCTTAGATATTATTTTTATTATTTTATTATTGTATTTATATTGCATAATACATATTATATTCTTAAATAACTATATAGTACTATTATTATTTTATTTAAACTAAAACTTTTCCTTTGTTTTGTTAGGTACAACCCACACAGCCCAAGCCCATTACAAACTGTTGACCCAACAGTTCAAGACCAAAACCCAATTTCGAATCCTCCGGCACAATCAATGTCATCCACCCCTCCTCTGCTTTTTCCGGCCGTTTCTCGCAGTTCAACAAATGCCACAGACGTGTGTTAGTCGGACTCCCAGCAACCAACAAACCGAGTTTTACTCGGAATCAACCACTAAAAATAATATTTTTTGTACTATAAATTACATGTAAATATGCACGGAAAGGGGAGGATGGACACGAGTATTCACAAGAAAATACCCGAGGAAATACGAGAGAAAACTAAGGGATTTGGGGGTCTCGAACAAGAAACGAGAGAAGCTCTCCCGGATC